TTGAGAGATCAGCGCGGCCACCAGACAAACTCTGCGGCTCTCTTTTCGCTTGCAGGGAGCGATGTTGACGCGGCGCGCGCACCGCGCGCTTCGCGCTGCTCGCCGATGGCTTCGGTCATGTCATCGCGGGGCGGTCGTGGAGACAACTTCGCCAGGGCATGTCTTGGCCGCCACTCGGCGCTGTCGCCGCATGCATTTCCACGCGGCGGCACTGGCGTAGCGCGCGACGATGTCGTCAGCGCGCCGCGCGCGCTCGCGCCACCCTGCGCCAGCCCCCTGTCGGGGAACGCGCGCCGCCGAGGAATGGCCATCTCGCCGCCCGTCGCACGCGATGCGCGGCGCGCGCCCCGATCGCCGCTGGCCCGCGATCGGTGCTTGGGCGCCGTGCGGCGGCGGCGCGAGCAGGCATGACTGGCTCGCGCTGCGTCGCGGTTTGGCTTGGCTTCAGCGAGCGCGCCCGCGCTGGGCCAGCGCGGTGCGTCTGCAGCTGCTGGCGTCATCCGCCCTCTACGACGTGGCTTTCGCGGGTCATTGCTGAAGCGATTCGCGCCGCAAAGCAGACGAGTTCACTTCGCGAGAGGGCAGGGGGGGGGGGGGGGCGCGCGCAAGGACGTTTGTTTGGCGGGCGGCGGTTGGGGAGGGGGGGCGGCGAACGGAAAGCGCAGCAGTTGAGTTGTCGATTTGTTCTCTCTGGCGCGCGCATGTTCTGCGAAGGCCAAGGCCAGTTCCGCGATGATTCTGCGCGGCTACCTATCCTCGCGCGGAGCGCGTTTTTTTCCCGCGCATTGAGCGTCAGCGGGCGCATTGCGCATATTCTGTCTCGGCGAGCACGTGCCCGCGCATGCGCCCGCGGCACATCGCAGACGACGCGCTGCGTCGGATTGTCTTTGCGCGCGCACGTCCCTCATCATCGCGCGGAGCGCGAGCGATTTTTTTTTGACATGAACAACAGCGCTACATGTGTTGTGCCGACGGAAACCTGATTTTTTGTCATCCGCAGGGGGGGCGGGGGCGGGGGGCGCGCCTGCGGGTTGCGCCCTCATGGCAGCGCGCGCGGTCGGCGCGCTTTCCTGTTTGATGACGCGGCATCCGCTGTCCTCTCTCTCTCTCTCTCTCTCGCGCGCTCTCTTTCTTTCGTTTCTCTCTCTATTCATATATGCATATATATACACGTATATCGCTATTGTTTTTTTGTTTTGTTTGTATTGTTTTTTTTGTTTTTTTTTTCTCTCTCTCTCTCTCTCTCTCTCTATATATATATATATATATATATATATATATATGCGCACCAAACCGTCGCTGCGAGGCGATGGCGCCGCCGCGCAGCTGGCCCCCTTTCAGGGGGCGCTGCTTCCGCGGGCGGGCGATCCCGACCCCGCGCGCGCGCGTCGACGGGGGCGCAACTCGGCGGGGGCCTCGCGTCGGTTGCGCCGAAAAGCGAGCCCAAACAAAAACGTCGCATTCGACGCGCGAGACATTCGACGCACGGGAAAAAAGTCTCGCGTCGTGCACGAGACACCCCGCGGCCGCAACTTTTTTTTTGAGGCCGAAACTGCGACGTTCCATTTATCGTCCGAAATTGCGACGCACGTTCCATTTTTCATCCGAAATTGAGACGCACGTTCCATTTTTCATCCGAAATTGCGACGCGCGTTCCATTTTTCCCCCCAAGCTGCGACGTTCCATTTATCGTCCGAAAATGCGACGTTCCATTTTTCCTCCGAAACTGCGACGGCGAAGAAAAAAAAAGTCCACCTCGCTCGCCGATGCACTCGCGTCGAAAAAACAAAATGCGATTTCGGCGGAGTCCACGCCGTCGACAAATTTGAGAAGCGAGTTTCGCGCGCGCGCCGCGGGCCGCGCCAGGGCGCATTTCAACGCAGAATTTGCGAG